ACAATATGCTGAACGATATCCACCACAACCACAACGATATCAACGAGAGAATTGTTGGCCAATCCAGTAATCGATTAAAATTTTACAGACATTTAGATGACTTCAGAGATAACCAGAAGAATGCAGACGAAATGGAAAATGCATTAAATACTGAAGATTTAATTTTCGCAAAGTGTGATATGAGACCTAATCGACACATAGCTCTTCTTAACCAACAGGACATCGAGGGATCAATTCATATGTGGCAACAAAGACATAATAGAGGACCGCTTCATATGCATATCAAACTCAAGGGCTTCAAAGTAGGCAATCATATGCACCACAATCATAACCCAGACAATCATCAAAGTCATAGCGGTTCAAGAAGTAAACGAGAATCCAATTTAATGCCCGTTGAGGTTGAGCCCGAAGATACTACTGGTCCACCTGTGGGCGCCTCCCATAGTCACGGCTTTCATGTTCACGAATCTGGAAATCTGTCGCGCGATTGTCAATCGGTAGGCAATCATTACAATCCGTTAAACTTAACCCATGGCGGGCCGTATGATGTGATCAGACATGTGGGTGACTTAGGGAACATCCGTTGCGACCGAAACGGGGAAATGGATTTGGAGTTACTCTACAGTCAGGTCTCGCTGTCCGGAGACTATAGTATTATCAACAGATCTCTTGTGGTAATTATTTTGCTAAAAGGTTTTATTCATTGTAATCTACTTTATAACTTGTTTATACAATACTGTATGAAAGCATAACTTATGCAATCATTAGTGTATAACTTAGTTTCAAATTCATTTGTCAGATCCACCACAAACCCGATGATTACGGCCGAAACCCTAACAACCCTTCAAGTTCATCGACGGGTAGTTCCGGTGTAAGGATCGCCTGCTGTCTCATAGAAGAGGTCAACCAATTGCCTAAAGAGGACGACAGTCAGAGCACCATAGGATCAATCGCGGGACCGGCAGTTGTCACCAGTAAAAGGAGACGCGAGACACGCAGACATCGAGTATATCATAACCAAAACCATTTCGACGACAACTCAGATTTGAGCGAAATATTGAAAATGATTTCAAACTACGAGAATGACATCAAACACAGACACAAACACCGGTTTCCACATTAGAGGCGACGTTGATAATCGACACATAACTGCTATATTCAGATTAAATGCACATTTTATTCAAAATTTCTAAATAAATAAAACACGAGAAATCATTTTAAAGATATTTTATTCTTTGAAAAGAAAATTATTTATTCTTTATGTAAAATTTTAAAACATTTTGTCGCATTTTGTTTTCGATAGTCAAAT